TGGGCATGTGTTGAGTACCAGTTCGACTGCAGAGATCTACACAGAGGTTGAGTTCCGCATGTGTGTGCGTGGATAGGTTGAACAGCAACAGCAGTGTTAGTATTCAGCTGTGTCGAGCCCAGCAGGCGCCGAGAGACGAATCAACAACAAGTTTCCTCAACAGCTGTCTGTCCATTCCCTTCCTCGACGACATCCGTAAAGTCAATCAAGCATCCGTAAGAGACAAGAACCTCGAACCTAGCGCAGAACCCTGGAAGTGCAGAGCCGCACTACTCTGCATTTGTTTGATTGGGTAATTGGGTCATCAGCAGCACCCGAATGCCAAGTATAACATTGGCGTCCTAGGCGCTTGTTTCTTCCCTGGGTGCACGATCCGTTGCGTTGTTGTTTGTTGTTGGCTTTTGGTTTGAAGTACCGCTGTAGACTTGTGCGTCTGCGTCATGGCCATGTGTACTCGCAATGCGTTTGTTTCCGGCTGCGCGACTTGTCGCGTGTCAGTCACTCGTTCTGGTAGACTCTTTTCCTTGGGCACGCCCATTGCCCGTCTCTCTTCTCCCTTGCCTACCAAATCTCCTGCGATTGGCCCGTCCAGGTCGTCACGAGGGGTGTACCCATCTTGCCGGTTGCCGTACGACTCTTCGCCACGTGCGTCGTCTCCACGTCGTCACCCCGCTGGTGCACAGCTCGGTGCCGTCGCCGCAGCCCGTGCTGCTGCCGTGCGCCGTGCACGCGAGGAGAAAGATACCGCTCTCTCCATACGAGGACGTGTATCCGCCGGCGTTCGGGCCGTTCCGCGATCCGATACCGAGATGGTAGGTGAGACACCCTTCTTACTCTGGAAATAGGAAGTCAACAACGAGGGTTTCCGCCTCTTGGTGACGGAACCGTCGGAACCTTACGGTGTTGGAGACGGGCGGAAACCGTCGCTGCCACCGTCCGACACATACGGTGATTTCCGACTTTTCAAGTGCTGAGAGGGGCGGGGAGCCGTCCACTGTAGTTCCCCACCTACTTTGCCGGCTAGTAGTAAAACACGTGCGACGCTACCAGGTTGTGTAGTTCCGAAACCCGAGCCGACTCCGCAACCCGAACCGACTCCGAGTCCGACAGACCGAGCGCGCCTTCCGAGGTTGTGTGTAATTAGCTTAGCCGAACAGGTCTTGTGTCCTGGAGTCGTACGCGATAGAGAAGAGGGGACTGACCGCTTGATCCGTGGAATCCAAGCTTGCCCTTTTACGAAGAATCCTGCAGCTAAAAACCGACTCGAAACCCGATCCGAAACCGAAAACCGAGCCGAAAGTAGAATAGAAAATCACGGCGTAGTAGAACGAGTTGTTCCCCGCCGCCGGCTTCCCCGTTGGCCGATCTTTAAGATAGTGACGCAAGCGGCGTCACGCCGGCGATAGCTTTTAAAGCTAGCCGCTTGCATCTCTATCGGCTGTCCCCGCTCTCGGACGAGTATACGCCTACTCTCGGCGACGGGGGCGGCGAAAAATAACAACGATGACTGATCCAACAAACACAAAAGAAAAATCCGTCAAAGCGCGAGTTCTGCCGTGTATATTGAGGGTTCGCCCTCTCTGCCTGCTTGGAGTAAACATCCTCCAAGGTCTGGTCGAGCAGTAGCAGGACGCGATCTGTCTGAATTTCTCGCCGAGTGTCAGGCATTTTATTTTTTTTTTGGGCAGATCTGTTCTTACGTGCTGCATGTGTTCACAGACCTAACCTCGTTTTTCTATCTCCGCGGACGAAGTGGAAAAAGAGCTTGACGTGCAGCGGGCACAGCCGATTGCTATCACCGGCCACCGTGTCAGTAGAGTTCCAAGGGGTTCCATCGTGGTACAATACAAAACACGTTGGCGCGAGCATCGCCAGCCCACTTGGGAATCCGCAGCAAACATCCAGCAGTATGGTGATTTTGTGCGCAAGTATTGGGTGGGCAGTGCCGTACGTCAAGTAGGTGCCGACAATTAGTACACTGTGACTATAACAAGCTTGCCGCGCTCCGTGCGCAACCTCGCTCCCGTAATTCCCTTCATGTGCCACCAGGTTATGAGTTACTGGCTAAATGGGAGCGTAGTCCGGACTTGCTGTCAGCGGAGATGAAAGGAGCGCGTGTTTTCGTGCGATCAAAGGAGGAAGGCTGGCAGCTGGGGGTGGTGCCTCGGGTTTCGAGGGCGCGGGAGGAGGACTTGCCGTGCAACGTCCATTTCGTCAACCTCGAGCGGCGTTTCAACGTGTCGCCGTCGCCGGCGAAATATTGAACGGCGGTGGATGGTCCGCCTGGCTCATGGTGGTTTCTTGTGCACATGCGGTCCGGGCGCGTCTGGCGGAACGGGACCTGAGGGGTGCGCTGTGGTGGTGATTTCGTCGTGGTGAACGGGGAGCGCTGTGGAGGAGGTTTTGTGGTGGACGGGGAGCGCTGCGGTGGAGAATTTTCGTGGCGGAAGAGGCGAGCACGTCGGCACCTTGAGTGGCGGGATTTTTGTGGTGGGGGGGGGAGCGAGACGGCACCTCGAGGGTTTTCCAAGGTGGAAGGGAGGACCAGACGGCGCTTCGTACGACTGCAAACGACTTGTCGGCGCTTCGAGCACCTTCAAACGACCCCGTCGGCGCTTTCCGTAACTTCAAACGACCTCGCCGGCGCCCTCGATTTATTTTTGTTTGTGGATGTTGTGTGTGTGTGCCGAATTTTTTGCACTTGGGCGTTGCCTTCTGATGCCGATGTTCTTTTTTTTTTTCCGGTGTGGTGTGTCGGTTGTTGGTGTTTGGCTCTGGAGTCTTGGTAGCGACGTGCTGTCCTTTTTCGAGAGGATGGGGGGGACAGACACAGGCCATTCAACAATAGCCTGTGTTCGGTAGAAACTTGGGATCTTTTGCTGAAAAGTTGGTGGGCTGCCCCGCCTCGAGGAATTTCGGTTCAAATTCTTGGTTGGTTTGTTGGTGCCTTGGTCATTCCGGGTGCAAAGTCCGGGAGTGTTTGAGTCCTCGAAGAGGAGATCGTGCGCTTTGCTTCTAGGATAGGGGGTCAATGTTTCGTTGTGGTTCCATCGATTTCGGGCAGGAAGCTTTTTAAGCTCTTTTTCAACGCGATGATATCGCTCTCATGGTGGTCATGGTGGTTATTCTTCGGTGAACTTTGGAGTTCCAGGGTAGGCAATACAGTAAGGTTCGTTGGCTTTTCTTTTTCCCCCAAGACCGCCAAAGGTCTGCTATCCCCTGCTAAATATTCCGCAAGGAAGCTGAAGCTAAAAGTGTGCTCTGTCTATGTCAAAGTGCTCTTGTCCTTGTCAAGGGCTGTGTCTATGGTTGTCCTTGTTAATGTGCTGTGTACATGTGACAAATTCAGCTTCAGCTTCAGCCTTGCGTTGGGAGAGTGCGCGTATATCAGACACGCTAGGGGAGAAAATTGGTCAAAGGATCGTTGATGTATGTGTCTCGGGTGGATTTCATAGCTTCATAAAGCTGGGGTGTGAGTTACAACACAGCGTGAAACGATTGATTTAGTTGTTGGGAGTCCTCTTGGAAGTTGGTGTGCACCGTCGGGTAGCGCCGATTTCAACAGTCAAGAGTCCGATTGAGGGGGGTCACAGGGGTTCGTTGCCGCCTTCCTCAGGGGTGAGTACGACGTCGTTCTTACCGGGGACAAAATTACTTTCGTTCAGTAGCATTCGTACATTTGTAGTGATCAGGTATTGGCAAGTCAGGTACAGGTTGTTGGGCCGGGATTTTTTGGGGTTGGTGCCGGTTGCCGTTTCCAAAACACGGCAGTGCGGCACGGGGTAAAATGGATTTCTGACGGCAGACGGTAGGATGAAGAATTTTCTTGGAATTCGTGTGTGGTGGTTTGGGTGGGGGTATCTGGGCCCGCGGAGATGAAATGCTGAGGGCTTGTGTCGTGAGTGTAAACGAGTTCCCGCTTAGGATGGAGCGAATTCTATGGGGTTTTCAATATATTTTGCCACGGCGGTCGAGACGGATAGACCAAATGTTAATGTTTGGAATTTTGTTGAAGGTTAAGAGCTGATGCGATCGGGTCTATACCAGCCTCAGTATAGAAATGGTACCGGACGCCGGTTTCTCTTGAGGAATCCATGTTGTCTTTGGATTGCTTTTTGGAGATATCACAATATTTGCCAATATGCCAAGAAGCAGTGTGGGGGAATGTGGTATGAAGTAGGCTCGTTTCAGGGGCTGTCTGGACCTTGTCCCCGATTGTCGGCGTTAAGATGCGGCGTAATTAGCCATTCTCCGAGGTGACGTGTGTGTTTGCATGAAGTTGGCTCTGTGTCAACCCCACGACTTCAGAGAAGAGAGAGCTAACCGGGCAAGGACAAAGGTCAAGTGGGCATGTGTTGAGTTCCAGTTCGACTGCAGAAATCTAGACAGAGGTTGAGTTCCGCATGTCTGTGCGTGGATAGGTTGAACAGCAACAGCAGTGTTGGTATGCAGCTGTGTCGANGCAAGATGCCGGTGCGGTGGTTGGATTCGGACGCCATCCCCGAGACACTTGAGACATGGGAACTACTGCTGTAGCGCGCGGCTAGTGTTTCGCCAAACTTCGCATCGCTAAACTTCGACTTTCGATATGCGCTCTGCAGATATATCGAAAGTAGTACTGTTCCGTGCAAGGCAGTTCTCCATGATGTTGCTGCACATGCTGCTCGTGTGCTGCCCCTCCTCCCTGCAGTGTTTCTACTGCTGTGGTGCAGGTACAACAGCAGCAGTAGCATCGCCTTCATCGATGTTGCCAATCAGCAACATTCCGCACCTGCTAGGTCCTAGCTGCAGATTGCTTGAAACCCGAGAGAACGAGAGGCGGGTCAAGGCTCCTTCCATCCGCAGTAGGCCCGGAGAACACGGCAATGCACCTCGCACAGCAGCCGGCACGTACGTTTGTGTCGCAGATCACAAAAAGGTTCGTCGTCGGGGGGGCGTGAAACACGCCATGAAACGACGGAGCACCCATCTCCATGCCTCCATACATGCATGTATGCATAGTTGTCCGCATCACCACATCACCGTCAAGAGCCACACCAGCATCATGGGGTTGAGTACTGTGTCTTCAGCAATCATCTGCTGCCACGCTGCTGCGACGTTGAATTCGTCACATGCTTTCGTGGTTTCCAAAAGGTGCGGGAGTGGTAGAGGACGCCGTGTACTGCTGCTGTTCTGTTCAACGACGAACCCACCTATCGCATGAACGTTCAGCACCCGGGCATCACCGAGTCATGCTCACCGAAACGTTGTCTGCTGGAAGGGTAGTTGTGATATGGTACCCCAGGCTGCTGTGTGCTATGCTTCTGGTGTGCTCCCTGTGCCCTTCTGCCCCGAAAAGGTCGAAAGACGATGAGTGGGGATATGCGGATGGCCTCGCCACTTGGCGCTCTGGGAGAGCATACAGCCCCTGAACCTACTGCTGTACAGCAGTACTGCTGTAGTCCAGCAACTCCATGAAGACGAGGAAATGTCCAAGAATGAGTGTGGTACACCGGGCGGTGGCTTCTTGTTTACGGCCTTAGGAGATTATGCCGGCGGCGCGGCTATCCGTGTTCCCCACTCGCCAGTCCCCACCATCCCTCCGCGCGGAAGACGATCCTTACCGAGCAGAGCACTTACAGCACACCAGAGTCAATTCCACACCACCGCCGACAAGCTTGTTGAATGATGGTTCCCTCGGTTGCACCGCAACTGGGCGTTGGTTTCAATTCAGTGCGTCACGTTTTGGGCTGCGCCCCAATCCCGGCCAGGGGTGCAGGCTGCCCCGGATGTCGTGAAGTCCACCACGTACGTTCCGTTCAACTGACAACCAAGCCGTTTATCGCCAATGCTCTGAATGCAGTTCCATCCGAAGGGCTGGCGCCCTGTCGGAGCGGCGAGAGAGTGCGGTCGCCGCCGCGATGGACCAGATGGAGCAGGTTGTGGACGGGCCGGTGGTAGATCTCAGGGGGGGCAAGACGACGGGGTCGAAAAAGGTGGGCAGAGGCCGGGTTGGTTCCCCTCTGGTCGTGGGTCGTGAGGTACAACTTGTCCACACTTTAGAAACTCGTCTTCATTATTACACTTTGCGCCGTCGTCGCTCCTTATTTGGTCATTTGGGAAAACCATTTGGGAACATAGAGGTTTTAGTGTGGGTAGGATTCAAGTTCTCGCTTTTCGTGAAAATCGAAGCCCCGGTTCATATCTGCCCATGTCTTGGTGGTGCCGGACCTGTACGGAGTAGGGCATGATTTGACTTCGCATCAAAAGGGTGCTCTTTTGGTTCTCGGCCTTACAACTACGCGCATTACCACACATGCATACCACTTCGAAGGATACTTCCTTGTTTTATTGGCACTGGAACCCTTTTGAGGAAAAGCCAATTTTTGCATCAAGCAAAGAGCTGGCTACATCCCCAGATTTCCAAGGGCGTGTGCCCGCAAACAACACGAAAGCACGCTCAGGGCGTGCAATAGTTTGGTCAAGGCCGGCCGTGGGTTCGTTCGTTCGTGAGTGCATAGTGGATCTCTCAGCACTATCTCAGGAGCATGTCACAAAACAAGCCCCCCCTTCGTGTACCACAGAAGGTTTCATAAATGGGGTCTGTGAAGTGACTTCCCTCTCGTCCGTCAAGGTTAGAGGCGGATGTCAGCGGGCGTGTCGGCATCCTCCCCGCCGAAGGAGACGTGATTAATTACTTTATGTTGTTGAGAGAAAGAGGGCGAGAGATGATTTGGGGGGAAAGAGATGGAAGAGGGAGAGAGAGGGAGAGAGACACCGAACGGGCGACAGACATACATGGGGGCGTATCTCTCCTATGACCACAAACCGAGAGCAAGGAGAGGAGGGGTGCTGACCTAAATGCACATGTGTGTCCTGTTGTGTATTTTGAAGAGAAAAGTGGGCAGATGGCACAACGCAAAACACATCTTTCATGCTGTTACGTAACCGAAATTATGATGTACTGACGCCGCTGCTGTACACCCGGTCCGTCAAGAGCGAAGAGATGAAAAGTGTTGATAGGTTTTGTGGATGTCCGCTTGTGCGGGAGTGTTTTCGGAGCAACAACAGCAGTAGATAAGATACAGACACGCGCTGAAGAAGCCAAAGTGGATGTACAGAACCTGTAACCCTATCTTTACCCTTGTACGAGTGTCCAGTTTTGGGCTTGTTCCCTCCTCCATGTGCACAACACTGTTTGCATGTTGTCTGCACGAGTAGTCTGCACCAGCGCAGGGGGAAGTTATGGTTTTGTATCATGCGTATGAATCAACCCCCCCGCGCCGGCCCGTGCGCTCCAGACCGACGCACTAGCCTCGATGCACTGATCTACTGCCGGCATATTATCCAGCATCAGGGTGCCCCCCGACGGTTATGAAAGTATTATTCGGGCCTTACCGACGACCGTTCACGTGTTGTTTTCTCTCGACGCTTTTTTTGTCGTCTGTCGATGAAGAGGAAGGAACCTTAGGTTAAAAGCAAGAGCTCCAAAGCGTCCAAGTCTAAGAAGGCGCCCAAGAAAACCTTCCTTCGTTGCCACCATCAAGGCGTTTTTCCAGTCGCTCGTCAACCCGCGTGAGTGCTTCCGATGCATGAGGATAAAGTCTACCCCCTTTGCTATGCGATAGTGCTTTCGCCAGATTTGAGGCTCCACAGCAGGTGGTTGCGTAGTTTAGTGCCGCCACCGACATTCTGCACGAAACGTTCGTATTGTTGTGTCTGGCGCAGCCGGGAGTGCTTGTGAGCTGGACTGGTCGAGGACAGGGTTTATTGTACAAAATCTCATGTCATGCGTCACAACCGTCATTCGCGTCAATTTTCGTGCGGTTCGTTGTGTGCCCGCGGAAAATGCCATCACCATTTCGTGTGTTGTTCTTGTCGTCTACATGGCGATCGACTATTTATTCGAGCCAGCCATTCTTCCTGATAGATCTCGCCGGGTCCTGACAGTAGAGGACCCCTTGCCCTTTCCTCCTCGGTGTCCCTTTCCCTCCTCATGCTCGCCCCTCTTCAGTTTTGCCTTGAAGCTGCAAGCGAAAAAGGAGCAGCACAACACGGTGCACGGTTCGGGCTCTGCATGACGCCGCTGCTTCGCCATCGCCGGCAGCACCATATACTTGACATCCACACACGTTCTCGTGGGTTTTTACGGACGAGGTCGACTGATCCCCGCACAACGATGTGGGCGAGGCATGTCTAGACGCGAGGGTATCCTTGCCGTGGACCGTGCCGCTTGAATGTACCACGCGTTCCGCGGTGCGTGACATCCGGAGCCGACTGCCTACCTTATCAGAACGTAGGAATGGTGTTGTTTCGGATACGTACTGCGTAGTTTGACTCGTTCACCGATCTGGCCGATCTGGCCACCACCTTGTGTAGGTAGGACCTCAACCCTTGCAAGAGAGTTGGTACAAAAGAATGTAGAGGCTAAGGTCACGCGTGCTTAGCCCGTTCTCGTTTGCCCAGCAGGATATGTTGTGTGGTGGTCGAAACCATCATTCCGGACAATGGGCCGACCTAACTACCGGTTGCGGTTTCGGCGTCGATTATCGTTTGCAACAAAGTTTCCGTTGTTTATGTTGTGTAAACGGGGCTAGCCGTCCCGGGGTGTTAGAAATACTTGTAGCATAGTAATGTGGTTGAATATGGGGCATGGATCTACGGAGATTGCAGTTGGTAGATCGCGGAGGAACAGGGAGTTTCTGCTTGGTTTCTTCGGAGATTCGATGAGTGATCTGAATTGCGTGACGGATAGGTGTGGTGACGCACTCTTCGGCTGCTCGGCCTCGAGTGGTCTCTGCCCTTCCCTCTTTCCTCTAATACAAGACTTTCCCATCTCGGCCCTCACTGGCCGAGCTGCCTTTCTCCACAAACCTACAAGCTTCGGCCTACCCGGTTTATCCAACACGCTAGCGTTAACGACTTTGTCGAGGGTGATTGGGTAGCGCCGATGGGCAGCCGCATGCGCGGCTGACGACACCCAACCAGACGAAGAGGCCACCAACGGCGAGGGCCTGCACAGCAGCAGCAACCCCAAGACCTACAGCAGCGCCATCGTCAGCTGCAGCCCGCCGTCTACTTGGGTAGTAGGCCCGCTCAGGCACGTGATGACTTTTCAGTTTCCTACTGGACTGTTGTTGGTATCAACACACCCATTGCGGTGATGCGGTACTCATAGTGCCGTCCGATTCTAAACGCGGCAATACGCCGTGCGGTACTGCCGTCAAACGCCAACGCTAACGCCACCTCCACCTCCACCCGGCACGGCCGTCAAACGCTCTCTCCTACTCTTTCTCTAGTATAATCGCGGCAACACGCTGCGCGGTAATGCCGTCAAACGCCAACGCTTACTCAATCAAAACGCGACAATACGTCGTGCGGTACTGCCGTCAAACTCCACCGCTCGGTCAAAGGCCGACTACCTGTAGCACATGGGTAGACCCAACCTAGGTTACCAGTAATCCTCAAAAACTGATGCCAGTTTCTAAACTGATGATATGATGTGTGCGTGTAGCATGGAATTAGAAATAGTATTGTGCGTAATGAAATGCAGTGATTGGCGAGGTTTTTGCTTTGTCATCCTGACAGCCGTGCTGAGACCAACTTTCTCTCCCCGGCAATAGCGTGATCAACGTTTTATCTGGGCTCTTTTTGGTAGCTACTTATTGAGCAGCAGGTTTAGCCTGGTCAAAAATGCGTGATCAACGTTTTATCTGGACTCTCTCTGGGTAGCAGCTTTAACCTGATCAAAAACTTTTCATGTCTTGGTTATGTCAGCGAGTACCAGAGACGTGTCAAGTCTCATTGACGTGCAACATTGGTACCTCCACTTTTGTTGCAGATGAAAATTCCACAATACAGCAGTAGGACAGACGAAATACTGATTTCCGAAGGTTGTTACATATTGTCTTGAGGTTACTATTTGTTGTGAGGTTGCAGTGCCACGTTGTTAAGGTTGTGACTTGGGATTGATTACCCTATGGTTAGAACAGGAGCAGCGGCTGTATTATTATTTTGTGATAGAGGACTAATCAACCTCCATTTCAGGATGATATTCAGCTATTTATTGAGTGGCAATGTCACAGTGATTGGTAATTTCAGACAAACCATTCCACTAGTAGGGCCCGACGATTTCAAAGTGTGATTCATTTGTTGATTTTTCTGCTGCAGTCACTACTGTGCAGAACCGGGGGGAATGTTCATGGTTTGTGGTTCTCCTCAGTAGTGCTGGTTTGTTCGGAACTAACGTGCTGCCATCTTTCCCTCCGAACGCGCGACCTGCCCTACACCACCGCCGAGTCAATCCTACGGGAGCGACAATTGTTCTTCCTCCACTTCAGGCGGACGCAAACATCCAAGCTCGAGCCGCGGCCAGCCGGAAAATATGAAAGGAGATAGGCGACCGCGGCGAAGGCGTGCGAAATATCCGCTGGGGGGGGGAGAAACAATGGCTTGGGCAATGGGTTAAGCGCTGGAGCTTGATGCGCCGGCAAATGTAGGGGTTCGAGTGTTATTGTTTTGGTATTGGATTGTGTTGGTTGGATTGGATTTTGGTCTTGGTGTTGAATTGATTTCTAGCATTTGGGTTGTGAACGTTGTTTTGGCATTGGATTTGATTTGTTTTTGGTGTTTCGTTGGGATTTATTCGTAGCAGGTTTGTTTTTCTTGAGTTTCGACTGGATGAATTTTGAATGTTGTTCTTTTGTTCTATGGTTCTGACTCCAACCCAAATCAGGGGGGCGGATCTCCCAGAGCAGGGGGGCACGTTGTTCTTTCGGAAGGAATTCACTGTAGCTGGTGCTAAGTTTCTAGGGAGAAACAGTAAGGAAAATACTCGCTCGCGTATGTTCTGCTCAAATGATCTCAACGCTGAACGAATGTTTGGGGATGGATGTTATTTGATCGGAAGTGTNAGTTGGTAGATCGCGGAGGAACAGGGAGTTTCTGCTTGGTTTCTTCGGAGATTCGATGAGTGATCTGAATTGCGTGACGGATAGGTGTGGTGACGCACTCTTCGGCTGCTCGGCCTCGAGTGGTCTCTGCCCTTCCCTCTTTCCTCTAATACAAGACTTTCCCATCTCGGCCCTCACTGGCCGAGCTGCCTTTCTCCACAAACCTACAAGCTTCGGCCTACCCGGTTTATCCAACACGGGGCATGTGGCCATGAGGAACCGGTGGCCACCAATGTGGTTTCGATTTTGAGAAGAGGAGGCATGCTGGCTGCGCTTATCCTTACAGGTGGAGCCGTCCGCATGCTTGCGACGAGAGAGCTCACACGGCCTGCCAACATTGGCGGCGGTAGAAGAGTGGCAGGGTTATCGTTCAGCCAATTCTGGGGTATCAAATCATTCGAGAATTCTTCAGCGGTGACGTTCACTTCAACAGATTGGTCGGCACCCGAACGGTTCAAACAACGATTAGGGTTCTTGCGAGGTACACAAAAGGGTCTATCGGTGTTGCGAATTGAGGTACGGATATCGTAATCACCAAGCAATCACCTGGCGAGGCAGGCGAAGCATTTTTTGGGTTTTAAGGGGTAGGAGCGCTTGTGCTGGGAACGCACTGGCAACTGTAGGATCTGCAAAGCAGCAGAAGCCTGCTGGCCCACGGTGCGAGATGCAATAGCGCGGTTTTGAGACCGTGATTTGTTGCGAAGATCCACCCATGTGTCGGAAGACAATGGGAATAGGAACGCGTCCCGAGCAGGAGTAATGTTATTAACAAGGGCGCGAACGCTTCCAATTGCGGCAATGACCGAAAAGGGCGTCCCGGGCCTAGCCATTGCACCTTGATATCAAACGGAGACACTTTCTCGGAAGCTGCCTATACATACCATACGGTTGCAGGAAAAGGGCATCTTGGCCACAGTAGTGAGTTGTGTGTGATGAACGTGGTGTACTTCGTTCAGCTACACTGCTGCCGTCACTACCACTATACCATCGTACATGAGGGAAGCACCGGCAACGGCAGCGCCAAGGTTAGCTTGACGATCTTGTGCAAGGTTGGCACAAAGAGGAAGGGCACTAATGTATACGGTTACGGGGAAGGGTTTTCGCTGCGGCAAGAACAGTGGCACGAACAGCAGGGCCCGAAGACAGAACTCCACGCGAATCACCCGGCCGGTTGGTCTTTCGAGAACAAGTAGGTGTTTTGGAAAGACGTCGGCGGAACGAGGCGGGGGCGGAGCTGCTTCCCCACACCCCGGCCATGGTACGCAGTTCAACGCACGAACCACTGCCCACGACGCAACAAGTAGACTAGTAGTCGATCGGGGGGCGCTCGCCTAAGAAATCGCAAACCCTGCAGAACGATGGAAAATGGAGACAGCTTCAAAAGCAGGGTTGTGGGGTGAAAGCTCCGGCCGCCCTTGTTCCGCCGTTCCGCTACCGGCCTTCCCCGTCCACCCGTTCTCGGAACTGGAACGCCCAGGCCGGAGGAAGCAGTAGCACAGCAGCACGGCGGCACACTAGCGACCCGACGCAGCGATACCACAGTACCAGGTGAAGTGCTTGCAATGCACTAGATCTCGCGGCGCCAGACACGCACCGCGCGACTCTAGCGAGACTGCTGTTCTCCTTGCACGCGGTCGTACCGTACCTGTGTCGAATGCACCCGCCCCAGGTGCAGAAACGGTGCGTGCGTCGCTGACTCTACGCTGCTCCAACACGGCAGCCGCCACCGTCACGCGTAGCCCGCACTCGGCCACACGCGCCACACCTTCCGCTTCTCCTAGGGTGGGCCCCATCATACGGTGAAGCCCATGCGACTACCCAGAGCCAGAGGGCCCTTGCCCGCATGCACCCTGAGCGCCGGCGTTCCGCACAACGAACGTAGATGGCGTGCCAGGAGTTGAACTCGCACTGCCATCACCTGCCCGGGCTCCTCCACCGTCCGCGGCCGCCTCAGCGCGCAGAACATGCTTGTTTGGCACGCGTCCCCTCGGTGGCATGTTTGAGTGTCCCGGAGCTTGAGTCAACGCCCGGCAGTCTCACCGGTGCGAAGCTTCCCGGCTCGGCTGCCGCTGCGAAGCAGCTTCACCGCCAGCGTACGATCCAGATCCGCATTTGATTCCTGCTGCTTCCTAACTCAAGAGCTTGAGCAATTGCTCCGGCTTCCGACATACGGACGAAAGCGGGGACCGGCGGCAGGCCGAATTCGGACGTTGGCGGACTTCGAAAAGGTAGACTATTTGCTTGCGAGGCGACCGCCGTTGCCCATTTGTCGAGGCAATCATTGCACAACATCTCCCCCAGTCCGTGTGGAGATGGCCTTCGGCGACCTGAACAGGCCCTGGTAAAAGAAAAAAATTAGGCGCGGAACTTCTGAACTGCCTTGATAAACGCGAGATCAATCGTATTGACGCGCAACAGAAGCGTCGCCTGGTTAGCGTTGTCCTGTCGTAAGGGTCGTCCTCAACGCGCCGCAGAAAATGTTATTTTTTCACCGAATTGTAACTTTTAACACGGAACCGGTTCCGGGTTTGCCATTGGTTCTAATCGGCAGAGGCGCGCCTATTTTTCAAAATCCCGGAAAGCGTCGATGCCGACGTACACACACCGGTCACGACCAGGCGAGAGGCCCGAGGCATACCACAGCAGACGCGATAAACCCACACCATGAACAACAACGCCGTAGCAGCGGCAGGCCGGCCATCTAGCGCGAAATCGTTGCCTCTGAGACTGCAGGATGCAGGTGAAAGTGGTGCTGCTGCTGGGCATGGGGTCGCCCAGACCGCGCCTGCTGGCGCGGCACAGCGGGCACCGAGCGGCATGGCCCGCCAGGCCGTTCACAGCAGGGTTACCCCCCATACCGGTACACAACAGGGGGTGCCACCTGGCGCGGTGATGATGCCGGGCTTCTCGGACGACGCTGATCGGCAAGCTCGTCAGGCGGCCTTAGTAAAGGTTCTCAACGACAAGCGATTTGGCGACGCCCCGCAAAAAAATTGGACCGAGTCGGAGAGCGGCGACGACGACGACGAGGGGGGGGGCAGCCCGACGTCAAGTGGCAGCAGTAATGTGTCGGTAGAGGACAGTTCAGCTCTGTCGGACATTGGCTCACAGTCGGGAGATGTCGTGTTCGAAAAGGAAATTCGGGAAGCAATGACCGGGGGAGGGGGAGCGGGCACGAGGACCACAAACCAAGGCAAGCGGAAGGCGAGCGCCGGCGGCAGCGTCGTAGGGAAGAATAAAGCAGCAGCATCCCATCACGCGAGTGCCAAAAAAGCCCGGGGCAAGGACTACCCACACTGGGCCACACACTTTCTAAAGCGGATATGCGCGCACCGCAAGATCCCGAGGATGTCGCAGAAGACCAAGGATGTCCTGGTGGCGACCCTGCGACCTCTCGACGCCAACATGAAACGGCCATCGACGCACTTCGACGACCTCGATGCTATCGCAGCCAGTGAGATGCTGGTGTTGTGTAGATTCGTCGTCAGTTAGAGTCCCAGCAGACGACACAGAGTATTGACAAAAGATAGGTAGTTACTCTGCAATTGAACGCAGTGTGCGCAGAGGAAACAAGACAAAATTACTGCTGTGTGTGTAGTGCCCGCTTCAAATCAACCTATTTGTACAGTAGCAGGTCAAATACGGCATGCTCGAGAGCTCTTTTATTTGCCCCAGTAGGTAGGATATTGAAGGCACCCACAGCGTACCACACGGCATGCTTTCTTGACGATATTCAATCGGTGGTGAACCGACCAATACGGTAAATCTTTGGGTGTTCTGTCCTCTCACGCCCAGAGGAAGTAAGGTATGGTGAACGATGTTTTTTGGAGGACAGTCATTAGGAATATGTAGTTTTGCCAAACTTGGGGCGTGTACACCTGAGGCTTCCTCTCATGCGAAGGCGTATTCATTGTGTGGGCGCTTTCTCATATCCGGGCGTTCGCGCAGGCAAACCTGGACACGGCAGCGAGCAGGAGGAGGGGGAGGAGGAGGGAGCCATCCCTGCGAGAACGCTGCTTATGTTTCGAGGTGTTGTCAACATGGTCGCCCTAGCACGTGACAGAACTGGGCCGTTTACAGTCGAGGGTGTGGACTACAGTGTGGCGGACCTTTACGACGCCATGGAGAAGGAAGACAAGCCGGAACTGGAGGATTCTGCCGGCGGGAGTTCGTCGACGAGTGGTGCAGCTGTACCGGACGGGGGTGGATCCGCCGAAGGGAGTGGCAGCATCACGGAGCGCAAGGGCCCACACTGCATGATGCGGCTCGTTGGGATCCTGTGCGAAGACTCCATCCGCCCACTTGTCATCAACAGCCGCTTGCAGGCGACCCGGCAGGAGCTGGACACCTCAGCAGTTGGGCCGCGGAGACATTTGTGGACAGAGGTCACCGACCGCTTCCGAGACCCTCGACACAATGTGCGTGCTGGGGGTAGGGGGTTGATTAGTACGGATCGGTCGAGAACGTTGTACAAAAACAGCAGTCGGAGTGCATTTTAAGATGTTATTTTTAGGCATGGTGCTCAACACCTCATAACGTCCACGCACGATGGCGCCATCGTTTTAGGTAAAAAGCTATTAGGTATCCAACCCCAAGAGCGGGTCAACCTGCTGTTGACGTCCACCGGTAACTAATATAGTTGTTGCTGACGCCGACGACCATACTGCTGTAGATACTGCTGTAGTTGCTTCGTTGCCTAATATAGTGAAAGACATTGAAAACGCGCTGAAAGTTGAATGCACAGATAGCCAGACAATATTTTATGCCACAAGAAAATAACAGGCCGGGAAGAGACCGACATTGGCCCTTCCCGCAAGAGAGGTGCATTCCCCCCGTTCTTTTTTATTTTTCATATGGAAATCGAGTTATATTCCTCGCACGTCAGGGGGGCGTCATCTTTGTAGCTAATAACTAGAGTTGGAGGTGGAATAGTTTTTTGTGGTGGTTGCACAAAAGTACCTGCAGTAGGCTCGTGCGTCTGTTCCAGAAGAACGGGGGGCGGTCCATCATCACCAGCTAGAGAGGGGGGTGGTATCCATCATCATTCGCTAGAGGGGGGGGTGGTGTCCATCATCAGCTAGCGAGGGGGGTGGTATCCATCGTCAGCCGTGAGGGGGGGGTGCTATCCTCCGTCACCAGCTAGAGAGTGGGGGTGGGTGCTATCCATCGTCATCAGCTAGAGAGGAAAAAAAAAAGTTGAAAAATTCCCCGGCTGGTGCTGCTGCTGCTGATTGTTTGAACAGGACGCTTCCGCCACCGCTTTAGATAACAGCAACAGCAGCAGCAGCAGAGGCGACACACCCTCTCGCCCACAATGAGTGTAGAGAGGTGCACAGCACAGCAGTGGTACTACATCGTCTAGGAACGAGCGTGATGTGTTACTGGTCCCGTGCTGTGATGTATGTGTGCCTCTCTCCAGAGCAGAGTCAGAGGCCGCTCCCTCCCGCCGCGTCGCAACACAATAACAACAACCAACCGATGGACCCACAGAGACCCAATCAATATCTCTCCTCTCGCTTCCTCCGCCGAAAGCTAGCAGCAGCAGTAGTATAGGGCACACCCTGCTCCCGTCCCGCTCTCGCTGTGTGGTGTGTGCAACACACGCTGGTTGGTGGGACTCCCTCTCTCTCCAGAGAAAAAAAGGCGAAAAAAAGGCCGGCAGCGTTGAACAACAACAACAAACAACGGAAACAACAACAACAACATCATCAGCGATGAACCCCAGACCAACCAAACGTTCCCCGCTTCCTCCGCCGTCGCTAACAGCAGTATGTGTGTGTGTCCCGCCCCCCTTGTCCATGTTCCCTGTCTCTGTGTAGTGCGTGTCTTGCCAGTAGCAGCAGCAGTGTGTGCAGCACGGCAGTGCGTCGTGGTTTCTTGCGTGCGTGTAGTTTGTTGCCCAAAGAAAAACAAAAATGACGACGCCTCCCGGGGATGCGTCCATGTGACATTTATTTATATTTGCACAAACGGTGTGCTATCTCGAGACACCGACCACGGATTGCAAAGAAAGGTAGCGGTTGGGACAGCTCGGGCATAATATTACTTGTTGTGCCCAAGTTTTAGTTTGCAATTTGGTGCCGAGATGGTGAAATGGGCTCGAGTCTGCTGGGTTATTTAGGGCGCGCAGACACCAGACAGACATG